TGGGGCCCGGCCGGGGGGAGCGGGGGGGAGGAAGAGCTGAGTCAGAGCGCCGGGGGGGGGGGCGGTGGGGAGGGAGCGCGCTCACACCGGGGCCGCCCCCCGCTGGGGGGAGCCCGGTCCGGCGGTGCCGCGCCCGGTGCCGCACCCGGTGCCAGGCGCTGAGCGCTCCGCCCGCTGCGGCCGCGGAGCTCCGGGCCCGCCCCGCTCGGTGCCGGCTGCGGGGGAGGGGGGAGAACGGGGAAGAGGACACCGGGATGGAAAACGGGAAATCGGAGAGAGAGGGGAACGGAGCACCGGGAGTGGAGAACGGGGCGCCGGAACGGAAAAGCGAGGAGGGGGGGGGGGTTGAGAAAGGAAAAGCGGGGGACGGATAACCGAGCGTCGGGATGGAGAACGGGGGTGAAGAATCGGGCAGCGGAGAACGGGAAACCGGGCGCCGTGCACCGACTGGCGCTGAGAAGCGGGCACCGGGCGCGGAGCCCCTCCCGGCCCTGCGGTGCCGGTGAACGGTGCGGGCGGAGCCCCCCCCCCCTCCCGGCAGGTGCCGGTCGGGGGTCCCGTTCCGACCCGTTCGGCCGCCTCCGGGCCCCGGGGGGACGGCAGAGGGCGGCCCGGCCCCGCGCTCACCTCGCCTCACCCCGACCCCCCCGGAGCGCTCCTGACTCAGAGCCCGGCGCGGCCGCTGCCCGGAGCGGGTGGAAAGTGTGAGCCGCCGCCGTGCGCTGCCAATGCAAACACCGCCCCGCAGACGTTATGTCAGCGAGGAGGGCGGGGGGCTCCGCTCCGGGCCGGTCCCCGCCTCTCCCGGTTCCTCCGGTGCCCCGGTGCTCGCTCCCGATTCGTTCATCCCCTCCTCTGTCGCCGGTACCGGGCACCTGCGGCCGTTCCCTTTTGCTTTTCCCGAGCGCAACGCGATGCACAGAGCTGCATCTCCGTCCGTCCGTCCGTCCGTCCATCGTTATGTCCACCCACCTGCCTCACCTCCACCCAGCGGTCACCTGTCCGTCTATCTGTCCGTCCGTCCCCAACCACACCGCCGGACCCATCCCGAGGGTTCGGATCAATCCCGGGGGTTCGGATCAATCCCGAGGGTTCGGATCGATCCCAGGGGTTCGGATCGATCCCAGGGGTTCGGATCGATCCCAAGGGTTCGGATCGATCCCGGGGGTTCAGAACCCGCTCTGGGTTCCCACAGAGGCGGAGGCTTCTGAGGGGGGAAATCCGCCAAAAATCCCCTCCCCTCCGCTGCCACCGAAACCCCCCATCCCCAACCCGAAACCGTCCTCCCACGGCCCCGCCGCCTTCCGGTGCCCCCGTGGCGGAGCCCCCGCACCCCACCCTCATCCCGCACGGGGTCCCACCGCAGCCCCACCGCTTCCAACCGGAGGCAAAAGGTTTCCGTTCCCACTTCCCCAACCCCCCCCCATCCCCGCCACCCCCATTCCCCCGGTTCTTCCCGCAGCCCCGCACCGCCCTCCCGGGCCCCGAGGCCGCAGCCCCCGCCCCGTACGGCCCCACCGCTATTTTTAACCGCTGCGTTATTTCGGTGCCCCGCGTTCTCGCTCCGCCGCACCGTTCCCTCCCGCAGCCCCGACGGCGCGGACCGCGCTCACCTCGTAGCACCGGGAACGGGCGGGGGGCCGCGGAGCCGCCAGGCCCCGTCTATGCCGGGCCGGCGGCGTGGCAGGAAGGACCGGGCGGTCATCTCGGCCCGGCCCGGCCGCCTGCAGAGGGCACTGCCGGTCCCCGGAGCGCAACGGAGCCCCCGGGTGACGGCACCGGGGCGGCCCCGGGGGGGCGGGGGGTGGAGGCGAAACGCGGCGAGACGCGGAGAGTTTTGGTTGCCGGTGACACCGTTTATTGGAGTTATAAATAACGGATGCAGATCGGGTGCGGAGGGATGGAGGAGAGGGGGGGGGGGGGGGGGGGGGGGGGGGGGGGGGGAGGAGAGCTGCTCCAGATGTGCTCATCTTTCTACGGTCCCGCTGTGCTCACCTGCTTGGATTCCAGCTGTGCTCACACCCCGCATTCCAGCTGTGCTCACCTGCACCGCCTCGGATGTGCTTTTCTGCCCGTATTCCAGCTGTGCTCAACCCCCCACACCCGCATTCCAGCTGTGCTCACCTGCCCCACGCTCACTCCAGCTGTGCTCACTTCCCACACTCCAGCTCTGCTCACCTGCACTGCCTCGGTTGTGCTTTTCTGCCCCCTACTCCAGCTGTGCTCATCCCTCATTCCATCAATTCCCCCTTCCAGCTGTTTTCACCCCCTCATTCCAGCTGTTCTCCCCCTCATTCCATCAATTCCCCATTCCAGTTGTGCTCACCCCTCATTCCAGCTGTTTTCACCCCCCTCGTTCCAGCTGTTCTCACACCTCATTCCATCACCTCCCCATTCCAGCTGTGATTACCTCCATTCCTCAGCTGTTCTCACCCCTCATTCCATCAATTCTCCGTTCCAGCTGTGCTCACCCCCTCATTCCAGTTGTGCTCACCTCATTCCAGCTGTGCTCACCCCCTCATTCCAGCTGTGTCCATGTCCACCCTCATTCCATCAATTCCCCATTCCAGCTGTGCTCACCCCTCATTCCAGCTGTTCTCGCCTCCCATTCCAGCTGTTCTCGTACCTCATTCCATCAATTCTCCATTCCAGTTGTGCCCACCTCATTCCAGCTGTGCTCACCCCCTCATTCCAGCTGTGCTCACCCCATTCCATGTTTCCCCATTCCAGCTCTCCCCACCCTTCATTCCAGCTGTGCTCACCTCTAATTCCTGCTCTGCTCAGCCCTATTCCATCTGTGCTCACCCCCCTCATTCCAGCTGTGCTCATCCTGCCCCCCGTGCTCAGGAGCTGCCTCCCCATAGATCCGCATATTCCCTGCACGCCCACCCTCCTCAACTTCCTCCTTTTCACCCTTTTACGCAAATAACATAAATTAAAAATACAACATAATCATAATAACCAAGGAGAGATTAAATAACGCCCTGCCCCAGCCCCACGCCCGGGGTTTGGGGAGGTGGGTGCTGCCCTGGGGGTCCCGTGGGCCCCATCAGAGTGCACCCAGCACATAGAGGGGGGTCGTGCCACCCCCCGTGGCCGCTCAGCGGGGCTGTGCCAGCAGCACCTCCAGCCAGCACGGACAGGAGGTGATGAACTGCCTCGAGTAACACGGCCCCCAACCCTTCCCAAAGCTGATACGGACGCTATGGGGGTCACAGGGCCCATCTCCATTCTGCCACCCCCCCGCCCCAATCCCTCCAGCTCTCTCATAGTCGAACACCTTCACCGAATACCCTGGCAGCACTTTGAGCACGGCGAGCCCGTGGGCTCCGGGTGGACCCAGGGTGGGTGAGCTGACAAAGATGGGATGCTCGCTTCGGTTGTACGCCCAGACGGCGCTCAGCTCCCGGCTCAGCAGCAGCCCTCTCCCAATCTTCCCCCGTGCGCGGCGCACGGCGCGGCTGCGGTGCGCGGCAGGCAGTTGGCCCAGGCAGAACCCACTGCCCCGTGGCAGCTCGCTGAAGACGTTCACCGACGCTTCGTGCACGGCGTAGAGGCGACCCACGCGTGTCCGGTGTTCCCAGTATGCCAGTTTGCACCAGCAGCCGTCCCGTGCGGAGCTCCGAGAGAGGCTGGTGTCTGCTGGGGACAGCGGGGAGGTCACAGAATCACGGAATGGTTTGGGTTGGAAGGGACCTCGAGGATCACGGAGCTCCGACCCCACAAAGCCACCAACCTCCGCATTTCACAGCAGCCCAGGCTGCCCAGCGCCCCATCCAACCTGGCCTCCAACACCTCCAGGGATGGACGGGGCATCCACAGCCTCTCTGGGCAGCTGTTCCAGCACCTCACCGCTCTCACAGCAAACAACTTCCCCCTGACACCCAGCTGAAATCTGCCCTCCCTCAATGCCAGCCATTTCCCTCGTCCTGCTCTCATCTCCCCTTCCCAAGAGCTGACTCCCCTCCTGTTTTTGGGCTCCCTTTAGTACTGCAGGCTGCAATGATTCACCCCGCAGCTTCTCTTCTCCATGCTGAACAAGCCCAGCTCCCTCAGCCTGTCTTTGCAGGGAGGTGCTGCAGCCCTGCTCATCTCTGTGGCTCCTCTGGCTCCTCTCCAACAGCTCTCTGTCTTTCTTGTCCTGGGACCCCCAGCCCTGGACGCAGTGCTGCAGATGGGGCCTCATGAGAGCAGAGCAGAGAGGGACAATCGCCTCCCTGTCCCTGCTGCCACCCCTCTGCTGCTGGAGCCCAGGATCCCATTTGCTTTCCCAGCTGTAATCACACCCTGCTGCCTCACGTTCAGCTTTCCATCCCTCAGGACCCCCAGGTCCTTCTCTGCAGGGCTGCTCTCCATGGCTGCTCCTTCCAGTCTGTATCAATGCCTGGGATTCCTTCAGCCCAAGAGCCAAACCTTGCACTCTGTTGTGTTGAACCTCGTTAGGCTCACCCAGGCCCACCTTTCAAGCCCGTTGAGGTCCCTCTGACTGGCAGGTCAGCACGGTGCTGCGTGGCCACACATGGCTACAACCAACCCTCTGCATACCGTGGTCCCAAGTGATGCATTGGGATGACAGCACACGGGGGATTGGTGTCCGTGGGTCACACATGCAGCACCCCATGCACCTCTGCAGCCAGGATACGCAGTGCCGGAATCAGTGCACTGCTGAGCACCGGCACGTAGGCCCAGGGCAGCCCCCTGGGGGCCACATTGTGTGCCAAGGGAGAGGGGGGGGGGGTCCCTGGTGGATAGGAAGGTGGAGCCCGGAGGCTTTGTGGCGTGCAGCCAGGCTGGAGCCGCGCCGCGTGCGTCAAGGCACATTGTGTGCGGCCCCGTGGGCAGCGCTTCCTCCGGCGGGGAGTCCGGAGCAGCCAAAAATAACAGGAGAGCTGAGTGCTGGGAGGGGGTGAGGGGCGGGGGGAGGAGGGAAGGGGGGTGGATCCTCCCAGTAGAAGCCCTCGTCCCACATCAGCTCCCAGTCCTGCACCTGGTTTTTTGGGTACCGCGTTTTCGCCCCTTACCGCGCCATTCCGCGTGGTTGCAGCTGAATTCCAGGAGTTGGGGAGGCTTGGGCTCAGCTGGCCAGGAGGGGCTGATGGACTTCGAGTAGGGGGGTGGAGGGGTCTCTGGGGTGAGGATAGGAAGCAGTGAGGAGTTGAGCACACGTCCCAGTTTCCTAAATGCCACCCCGTACCCTGATCCCATTCCCACCGGGGACCAAATGCTGGAGGGAGCCCAGGGATGAAATGTTGGAGGGACCCCAGGACCAGGGGCTGGAGGGACCCCAGGGGCTGCAGGGATCCCAGGGGCCAGGAGTTGGAGGGATCACAAGGACCAGAGGTTGAAGGGACCCGAGGGGCTGCAGGGACCCCAGGGATCAGGAATTGGAGGGATCACAAGGACCAGAGGTTGAAGGGACCTGAGGGGCTGCAGGGACCCCAGGAATCAGGGGTTGGAGAGATCACAAGAACCAGGGGTTGAAGGGACCCTAGGGGTTACAGAGAGCCCAGAAATCAGGGGCTGGAGGGACTACAGGGACCAGGGGTTGAAGGGACCACAAGGACGAGGGGCTATGGGGACCCCAAGGGGTTACAGGGACCCCACGTACAAGGGGTTGGAGGACATGGGGCTGGATGGACCCCAGAGCTGCAGGGACCCTGGGGATCGGCCACTGGGGACCCCCCAGATGGCAAGGAGGGCCGGGGGGAGGGGCACTCACCGGGCGCAGCCAGACGGCTGAAGTGATGGGGGTTGCAGCAGAGCGCGGCCGCATCCCCGCAGCCCCCCCGACCCCCCGCGCTCTGGCAGTAGCAGAGATGCTTGAGCTCATGGGGCTGCCGCAGGTCGGGCCAGCGGAACAGGCGGCACAGCAGCACCTGGGGGGGCAGCGCCTGCTTGGCCCCCCGCGGCACCCAGACGCAGCCGGACTCCCAAGCACCGCGGCTCTCCACCGCCTGCAGCAGCAGCTCCAGTTCCTCGTCCTTCAGCTTCTTGAACAGGGCGTGCGCCGCGGGTTTCAGGGCACCGGGACCCTCCTCGGGGCCGGGGGTCGGGCAGCGCTGCCGCCACAGCCGCCTCAGCAGCGCGGCACGGCGAGAACGGAACATGGGGCAGAGGGGCCGAGCTGGAGATGGGGACACGGGTGTCACTCGATGCGCTGAGACACATCACACCGAGTCCCCCCTGCCGGCACCGGGGTGATGCCGCATCCCCATGGAGCTGCCCCATCCACCGCACGCTGCGCGCCCACCGCCGCCATCCCCCTAAGTCACGTTCTGACCCCCAATAGAAGCCCTGTGCGGAGCAGCGTCCCCGTCCCACATATATCCCCGTGCCACATATCCCCGTGCCACGTCCCCTGTGAGGGGTCCCGGGGATGGGGTCAGACTCACGGTGGGCGGCGGAGCTGCGTGCCAGGAGATGGGGTTGCGCGCAGGGCCGCGCTGTGGGGCGGCCCGGACCGCTCTGCCCACGGCTCGCCCAGTTCAGAGCTTTTTCCTGTGCCGGGATTCTCCCCTCCCCCGGACCTCCCCGTTCGGGGAATTCATTGATTCGTGTGTCCGGGCCTCGGGTTGAGCTGCGGATGGGGTCAGGACGCGGCGACAGTGGGGCGGGTGCGTGGGCTGTTGGGCTGTGGGGCAGGGGATGCCCACAGCGTTGCAGATTTGGCCCGGTGACCCCATGCTGGGGGGCAGTGAGGGGGCAGCGAGCAGCACAGCGTAACGACACATAACCCAACCCCGTGGGAAAAGGGAGCGGCGGGGTGTCCCACAAAGCCCCCACCCCCAACGCTGCGCGGGTTGCAGGGGTGACCTGAGCTCTCCAAATCAGGGGTCCCAGCTGCCCACCCCCCCCCCCCCCCCAAGCCATCTGAGCAGCCACCCCCCCCGCGGGTACAACGTGAGGGTGGGAACTCGTGCCATAACAAAGCCATAATGTAAACGGGACCCTTATCCCGTGCGGGGCCGCGCTTCCTGCTCCCGACTTCCCGGCGAGATAAGGGCGGCCGCGCCGGCGCCAGGCGTGCGCCATGGACGGGGCTTCCCTGCAGGGATGGAGCCTGCAGCCCCACAGAGGGGCCGGCACGGAGCACTTTGGGCACACAGAGACCCCCGCGATTGATCCCGAGGGTCGCGGTGCCCCGTTGTCCCATGAATTGGGCTGCAAGCCGGGTTCTGGGGTATGTTTTGCTCTGGCTGCTTCCCGGCGGCGGTGGTGGTGCCGGGCGGGCGCGTGGGGTTGGGGCAGGAAACGGCTTGGAAGTCTCTAAACAAGGGGCTGAGTCACAGCAGAGATAACCCAGGGGAGGGGGAAGCAGGGCCACGGCT